ATTGCTTCGCAAAGAAAGAAAGAACGAAAAAAGTGGTGCAGATAGAATAAGAAGAAAGAAAGAAAGAAAGAAAGAAAGAAAGAAAGAAAGAAAGAAAGAAAGAAAGAAAGGCAGAATCAAATAGAGAAAGGAAGGGGCGGAGAAATATAGACTGAATAGAAGAAAAGACAGATAGAAAGAAGAAATATTAGAAAGAAATAAAAAGAGGGAAAGGGGAAACATTAAGAAAGAAAGAAAGAAAGAAAGAAAGAAAGAAAGAAAGAAAGAAAGAAAGAAAGAAAGGCAGAATCAAATAGAGAAAGGAAGGGGCGGAGAAATATAGACTGAATAGAAGAAAAGACAGATAGAAAGAAGAAATATTAGAAAGAAATAAAAAGAGGGAAAGGGGAAACATTAAGAAAGAAAGAAAGAAAGAAAGAAAGAAAGAAAGAAAGAAAGAAAGAAAGAAAGAAAGAAAGAAAGAAAGAAAGGCAGAATCAAATAGAGAAAGGAAGGGGCGGAGAAATATAGACTGAATAGAAGAAAAGACAGATAGAAAGAAGAAATATTAGAAAGAAATAAAAAGAGGGAAAGGGGAAAACATTAAGAAAGAAAAAAGAAAGAAAGAAAGAAAGAAAGAAAGAAAGAAAGAAAGAAAGAAAGAATAAGAAAAAAAGTAGGTGCAGATAGTAGAAATAAATATATAAAAAAAGAAACATAGGAGGTATTGGCTACAATAAGAAAGAAAGAAAGAAAGAAAGAAAGAAAGAAAGAAAGAGAAAGAAAGAAAGAAAAGAAAAAAGTAGGTGCAGATAGTAGAAATAAATATATAAAAAAAGAAACAAAGGAGAAAGAAAGAAATTAAGAAAGAAAGAAAGAAAGAAAGAAAAGAAAGAAAGAAAGAAAGAACAGAAAAGAAAGGACGAAAAAAAAAAGAAAAAATGTTTGGAAAGTAAAAAAGGGAAAGAAAGAAAGAGAGAAAGAACATATATATGGAAAAAATATTGTTTCTAAGAAAGAAAGAAAGAAAGAAAGAAAGAAAGAAAGAAAGAAAGAAGAACTGGCAGATTTCAATGAGAAATACAGAAATCAACGAAAAAGATGCAGATTGCAAAAAACCCAGAAAGAAAGAAAAAGAATGTAAGGAAGAAAGGGGTGATGATTGTAAAAAAAAAATGAAGAAAGGGAGTGCTGATTGCAATAAGAAAGAAAGAAAGAAAGAAAGAAAGAAAGAAAGAACAGAAAAGAAAAGGACGAAAAAAAGAAAAATGTTTGGAAAGTAAAAAAGGGAAAGAAAGAAAGAGAGAAAGAACATATATATGGAAAAAATATTGTTTCTAAGAAAGAAAGAAAGAAAGAAAGAAAGAAAGAAAGAAAGAAAGAAAGAAAGAAAGAAGAACTGGCAGATTTCAATGAGAAATACAGAAATAACGAAAGAGATGCAGATTGCAAAAAACCCAGAAAGAAAGAAAAAAGAATGTAAGGAAGAAAGGGGGTGATGATTGTAATAAAAAAAAAGAAATGAAGAAAGGGGAGTGCTGATTGCAATAAGAAAGAAAGAAAGAAAGAAAGAAAGAAAGAAAGCAAGAAAGGGCTGCTGATTTCAATAAAAAGAAATAGGTGCTGAGTTCAATAAGCAAGCAAACAAGAAAGAAAGAAAGAAAGAAAGAAAGAAAGAAAGAAAGAAAGAAAGAAAGAAAGAATGATGGTGGTGTATCCTATGTGCGAGGAGAAAGAAAGAAAGCATGAAATGAGGAAGGCATCAAATTTAAAGAAGTCAGAGACAAGTACAAAGAAAGAAAGAAAGAAAGAAAGAAAGAAAGAAAGAAAGAAAGAAAGGGCTGCTGATTTCAATAAAAAAGAAAGAAATAGGTGCTGAGTACAATAAGCAAGCAAACAAGAAAGAAAGAAAGAAACAAGAACAAGAAAGAAAGAAAGAAAGAAAGAAAGAAAGAAAGAAAGAAAGAAAGAAAGAAAGAAAGAAAGAAAAGAAAGAAAGAAAGAAAGAATGCTGGACAAGTACAAAGAAAGAAAGAAAGAAAGAAAGAAAGCATGATATGAGGAAGGCATCTAATTTAAAGAAGTCCGAGACAAGTACAAAGAAAGAAAGAAAGAAAGAAAGAAAGAAAGAAAGAAAGTGGTTTGCAATGAGAAAGAATTGAAAAAGGGGATACTGATTGCAATAAGAGACAAAGAAAAAGATTATTAAAAGGAAATACACTGAAAGAATAGATAAAGTGAATCAATTAACGAAAGATGAAAGATGGATAAAAGGGAAAGAAAATCATTTCAAAAGAAAGAAAAAAGGGTGAGAAAATGAAAGCAAGCAAAAAAAAAAAGAAAAGAAAAAAAGGGTGAAAGAAAAAAAAAAAAAAGAAAGAAAGAAAAAAGATGAAAGAAAAAAAAAAAAAAGAAAGAAAGAAATGAAAAAAGAAAGAAGAGGTGACGAAGGAAATAAGAAGTGAAAAAAGATTTTCACTAAAAAGAAAAAAATAATCTGTAAAAAGGAAGGAAAAAAAGAAAGAATAAAAAAGAAAGAGAAAGGGAAGTGGGGTGAGAAAAAAAGTAATGAAAAATTTAAGAACGAAGCAAAACACGATCAAGAAGAAGGGGAAAAAAAAGAAAGACAAAATGAAAAAAAAATAGAATAAAAAGAAAAGAACAGAAAGCAAAAGAAAGAAAAAGAAAGAAAGAAAAGAAAGAAAGAAAGAAAGAAAAAAAAAAAAAAAAAACAAACAAACAAAAGAAAGAAAAAGGCAAAGACTGAAAAAAAGAACGAAACAATAGAAAGAAAGAAAAAAGAAAGAAAGAAAAGAAAGAAAGACGGTGCAGATGCAAAGAAAGAAAAAAAAACGAAAGTTTGTTAATTGACAAAAAAAAAAAAAGAGAGAAAAAAAATAAAAAGAAAGAAGAAAGGTACTGAATACAAAAGAAAGAAAGAAAGAAATGGGTTTAGAAAGAAAGACAAAAAAAAACGAAATAAATTTTAAAAAGATAAAAAAAATAGAAACAAAAAAAAGAAAGAAAGAAAGGAAGAAATGAAGGTAGAAAGAAAGACGAATTAGAATTCAATAAGAAAGAAAGATATTAAGAAAGGGGCTGCTTATTGCATTATAGAAATAAATAAATAAATAAATAAATAAATAAAGAAAGAAAGAAAGAAAGAAAGAAAGAAAAATATAGAAAAGCGAATAGAAAACAAAAGAAGAAAAAAATGAACGATGAATTTGCTAGAGGAAAAGAACTGCAATAAGAAATAAGAAAAGTGGAAAAAAAGAAAATGAAGGAAACAAACAAACAAACAAAAAACTAAAGGAGGCAAGACACAAAAGAACGAAAGAAAAAAGAAAGAAAGAAAGAAAGAAAGAAAGAAAGAAAGAAAGAAAATAAATGTTAAATAAAAAAATATACAAACAAAAAGAACGAAAAGTCACAGTTCTAAGAATGAAAGAAAAAAGAAATAAAGAAAGATGTATAGGTGGAGCAAATATTCTATGCTTTAGGTCACTGTTCTGCAATTAGGCTAGAAAGAAAGAAAGAAAGAAAGAAAGAAAGATGAAAGAAATAAAATAGTAATTAATGGCAATTTGAACAAGTTAGTTGCTGATGTAATCACTAAGGTTAAAACAAATACCGTTTGATTTTCTTTTTTGACAGATGAGATGAGATTATATTAGAAAATACGAACAAGTAAGAAGTCTGAAAATGAAAGAATTATCACAATTCTAATCTCGTCATTAGTTAATGAGGTCGAATCTGAGCAACTCTCTGGGAATAGAAATAATATTATGATCAACTTGTAAAAGGGCTTTTAGCCTTTAAGCACTTCACAGCACATACCGTGAATTTAGGCCATCATTGCCAATTCGTCTAGACACGTGTCATATATATATTATTAAAGACATTTTATGTTTAACGTTCAATTTTTTTAGAGACAAGAAAGAAAAAAGTAAATGCTCTGTTTATAATAAACAGTATTAAATAACATTTACAAGCTGAATGTCCGAGAAATTTTCATACAAAAATATTCGTTTTTGACAGATGAGATGAGATTGCATTCTATACGGAACCGTCATTTACGCTGAACGAATTATTACCAATCGGCCACAAAGCATTTACTAATTTTAAGTCATAGAAAAAATTATGATCAATTATTTAAACAGAGCATTTACTTAAATACGTGTATCTATAAAAAGAACGTTAAACATAAAATGTCTTTAATAAAATAAATTGTCGGACTTTGTCCATAAAATTATATATATATATATATATATATATATATATATATATATATATATAAACATTTTTTTTTTTATGTTTATACATTCTTTTTATAGATACAAATATTTCAGTAAATGCTCTGTTTTATAATAAATGTATTAGTAACATTTACCGGCCTGAATGTCCGAGAAGTTTTCATAGAAAATATTCGTTCTTCGACAGGAATCAAACATGTCGGACAACGAATATTTCCTATGAAAATTTCTCGGACATTCAAGCCGGTAAATAAAGGTGTGGTCCATAAGTAGGTTTAAACTTAGTAGATATGCACTTTACATTTTTTATTTAAACATATATTATATTTATATATATTTGTTACGATCATATTTGTTCAAAACTGTTTATGTAGATTATATATCATACTCATAAAAGCAGTTAAAATCTTTACTAATTAAATAATGTCTTAGTTTTATTGCATTTTTTATTTTACGATTCACAGCAGATTTTCAGTAACTAGTGTGTGTGGGGGGGGTCTGTTTTAGAAATATAAGATTTAAATTCTCCAAAGATTTATTTTTATAACTAATATAAACATTGAACCAGAAAAAAAAAGAAATTTCTTGAAATTTCATAAAATTAAATAAATGGGGAGTAACAGCTGCGAAATAATACATTTTTACTAAGATTTTCGAAAAAAATACGTTTCTAAAATAATTAAATTCGTTCGTGAATAAGTCCTGAAAGTTTCATTAAAATATGACAATTATTTAATTTATGCAAGAATTTCCAAATCAATGTAT